AGGGAGAATAAAAAAGATGAATAAAGATGCCAAATTGGAACAATTTCTTATCAACACTTTACAGGAATGTAGTCCCAAGTATTACTCCTCGCCTCGTTTGGCACACATTATTGATTTGGATTGGATGACTCGCTAAATTCAATGTTCTTTGAAGCGAAAATCATCTTTTAAATTATCTCCGACCGAGAGAAATTGGATTAGAGCAGTCATGAAAGAAACTTATACCTTCGTAAGCATAGCAATGCACAAAGGCATCCAAATTGCCCAAGATGTTGCATGCCTTCTCCACCGCCTCATCAAAAGTTCCCTCCCTCTCGTCCTCGATGTCCACGTCCACCACCTCCACCGGCGCCACCGCACCCTCCAGTGAGCCCGTTATTTTCTGCACACTACCCCGTAGGCAGCTCTCCTTCCCCATCAACACCAACCTGCTTATTCAGAACACAAACAAACAAACAAACCAAAAAAATCAAATCTTTCATACACAGAACAGAATAAATCTCAAAACCCATTTGTCAGATTAATCACAAAATGCACCCCAAATGGAATCCGACCCAGAAAACCCGAAATTCAAAATTTCACATTTGATTCAGCCCATGGAGATTTAATCACCTGCAGCCGCGTTGGACCAGAGAGAAGGCGATGCTCTCTGAAATCTCGTCACCATTGGAGGTGAGCAGGACTTTCTTCGCAGGAGGACTCCCCATTTGTTGGCTGATGAGGTTGCTGTGCCGACACTCTTATATACTAAACAGAATTGAATTAACAAGAGGTTGGAGTAAACTGAAAATAATTAAAATAGGTTTGCAGTAAGCTGAAATAATAAAAAAAGTTTGGTGTGTAATAAGATGTGAAAAACGTGCGGAGTTAGATTCTTGGAGGACGCGGGAACCGAGGAAGAAGATGGATATTTTGGGGCACGGGTTCGACAAAAAATTATATGGCCAAAATGCCTCCCAGCCAAAAAAAAATCAAAAGTAGCAAAAAAGAATGCATAAAATAATATAAAAGTAATTTTGTAATTTTAACAGTCCTTTTTTTAATAATTAATTTTTTGATGCAGATTTTTTTTTTCTTTTTTCATAATTAGTACATTGCAATAGACTAACAATAATATGATTCAATTTATTTATTTTTAAACACATTTGAAACATCTTAAGAGGCATGTAATGTTGGTTATAAAAAAAAGTTTTTCACATGCGGATAATAATGTGATTAAATTAATTATCAAATTATTGTTTTTTTTTTTTTAGCAAAACATATTATCTACACTAAGGGGGAGAAGGTGGGTTTAGCCTCACAATGGGCTATCAATAATGTGATTCAATCAATTGTTTATTAAATATTATTTTCTCTATTCTTAATGTAAATTCTATAGAGACCAATTTTATTATGTGAATTCAGCTGCTTTAATTGATTTATGAAGGGTTTCTTCTAGCATGATCTAAAATTATTCATTTATTTCAAATATTTGACTTTCCTTTTGTCAATTTACGCATATAAATACATTTAAAATATGTAAGTCGCGCGTAACACGCCTTGATTCAAAACCATATCGTTCATGGTGTATCTTCGTTAGGGATAAAAACATCAAACAAACATCATTGACTGAATATGGGATGAAAACCGTAACAGTACCATACCAAAATATGTAAAGTTCGGACCTAATATTCATGAATAAATGAGTCAAAATGCGAGAAGGTTTAAGTTCAAATTTTAAAAATGACGAAATTACAATAAATTTATTCTCACTGGCGTAAATCAATAAAGGAATGAAGGTAAATCAATACCGAATCAATAGATAACAACACCAAGCCATTAGCTTATTGTTTCCATTCTTCGGTCTATATTACCTAATGGTCAAATATTTCTTTTCTGCATGCACCACAAATACAAATTTCCAATCAAATATAGACACGTGGCGAAGTAATATTTTGTGGTGGTAAGTTCGTGGTGTTTGTTTGGTGGTGGCGGTGGTTGTGACCGGACTGGTTTTCAAGCAGTCGTAAGATGTATGGAAGCTGCACAGAAACTTTTTGCGAAGGCTTGTTGAAGATGACCTTGACCTTTTGACCCAACTGACCCAAGAATCAGCCGGACTTTCGGTCAAACGATAGCATTCGCAAATTACTAGGTAAGTACTAAATAGCAACAATTTATACATAAATTTCTCTCTTGATTTTGACTCAAGCACTATTTTATTTGGTGACATCCAATTAAATTTCGTATTAGCAAAAGAGGTTATGAATTCAACTCTTATATATTATGAAAAGGAACTCAAATCTTATGAAAGGTAGTGGTTGTACGAATAGAAAAGAATAAACTCCATTTACACAAATACGTAAGATTCTGACGAAAAGAATCAATTTTAAGTGTTATTGCTACAGTGTCATATATATAGTATTACTAATTTGAGTGTTATAATATGAATTAACACACATAGTTGATTCGACGCAAAACTAGAATATAATATCAGTAAACAAATTCATGTACTATGACACAAGTTAATAGATAATAACATGAGACTCGTTTGGAAATGTTTTTAAAATGACTGAAATCATTTTTGGAGAAAATATTTATGGGTTCCAAAAATACTTAAAGTGTTTTATACAAGAAGTGCCAGTTATGTACTTCTTATATGAAGCATTTAAGTGTTTTTTTTTTTTTAGGACACACTTGCATTTTTACTAAAGAGTGGTTCTAAAGATATTTTCACAAAAAAATACTTTCAGCCATTTAAAAAATAGGAGTGAGGATCCTCACCGGATCTTCTTTGTGAGGATCTCGAAGATCTTCAAATCACATCCGTTCATCGTACATTGTGCAGTCAGAAATAATTGTAATTTTTTTAAAATTGAATATAAACAGTACCTAACGAAAACTGACCGCACGATTTATGATGAACGAATGTGATTGAAGGATCCAACAAAGATCCTTTCTCTAAAAATAGGTCCAAACGAGCCCATGATGAGGTGTCAGGTGATACTAAAAAAACGTTACATAAAAAGAGGCTAGACAAAAAGAGAGCGAAACAAATTTGTAATTGACATTACATTATTAGGACAATATTTTTGTTCAGAATTCACATTCATGGTTTTGTTTTTTTTGAGTCCAGTCGTTCACATTGATACGCGTTTGTATGCAAGCGTGCTTCTTGCCCAGCTACTTCTACGTATGTAATATTAGCATCACCAAACAGAAAAAGAGAGCAAAACATGAAAGGCTAGGTCAAAGAATCCATTTCTTGTTTTCTATTCTACTCCATTTTTATTTTCAGTTGCCTAACCCCTACCCCTTTTTTTTAATTTTTTTTAATACAAGTGATTTTTTTTATTAATTCATCTACACTATAATTAAGAAGAAAATTTCAATTTGAATATAGTAAAAGAGCACATTGTTATAGTCGATCTATTTAAACACACGTAGGTGTTACCAATACCATTGTGAATAATATTAGCTTCACTATAATTGTGAATAAATTTCTACTTTAAACACTTTGCAGCCAATGTCCGAAACTTGGTGGTTATGACCAGAACTAGTCATATTATAAATTATTACATCTATGTAAACTTTTTTTTTATAAAATTAGATAATTTAGTTCCAATTAATTGACTGAATAACTTTAATTTTACTATAAATAATTGTACATAGTGAGTTAAGAATGATTTTAATCATGAATAAGAAGCGTTATGAGTCGGCGATGAAGTATTTCGAAAAGGAATTAATTTAGAAATTTGTAAACCAAGCATTGTTGATTGTTTATATGCCAATTGGCTTGGGACTGAAAGGGTTGTTTATTTGCCAATTGGCTTGGGACTGAAAGGCCTTTTTTTAAGTTTCGTCAATGTAAATGATTAAATTATGATCAACAAGTGCGGGCTGGTATCAGGTTAGTGAGACACAAATAAATAATTAGAAAATGGTACCGTACCCGCATTTTTTTAATTTTGTACTTACCCACATTTAAATGCGGGTAAATGTGGGACAATACCAACGTTTAAATATTGGACAAGAAGGCAACACTGATCGATGTGCGCATTCAGATCAAGGTGGTTTTAGACTTTTAAAATCACTTGGGACCTTTCAATGTGTTCATCAAATATATAGGGTAGTGCCTACTAGGCATATGATATATCTTGGCATCACTCAACATGTTGAGTCAAGAATACTCGATAAATTATCTCGATAACACTTATCAAATTGATTCGACATATGTGGATATCTGTTGACAAGTACGCAATATGATGACACGTCAACAATAAGCCCATCAAGTATTAAAAGTAATGTCTCAACGAATAAATTGAAAACTTTTTGTACATTTTCGCTATGTTTCTATCAACTCAAACTTTTAACACTGAAACCTCCAACGTCCGAAATCCAGATCCCCTACAGATGACAACCCATTTATACAAATGCAATGGATTGCTACGGTTTCTTCTCTTATCTATAATTCCAAACTCAAACTTAGGGTACATTATACAAAATAAAAACTAATTAATTTAGAAATATATGGATAGCAACTCACGACTCGTGAAGCTCCCGTGACTCCTCCAATGTAGTGAATATTTGAATCTCCAAAATCATAAATAGTTTAAATAAAATATGCTATTGTGAAAAAAATAATAAAATTCAGATATTCAAACTCTCAAGGACTACAAATTCGAAAGATGATTTTTTTCTCTTTTAATTTCTCTTCTTCTTTTTTAACCAAAAAAAAAAAAGAATCTCTTTTCCTTTTTTTTCTTTTATATTTGAACGGTTATGATTAAGTTGTGTTAATATTTTATATTAATTTTTTATAGAGATAAAAAGATAAAAGAATTGGATCTGTTCCGGACCTTAGTGTTTGGAGCTTAGGAATCAATTCATCTGGGTCGCACAAATTCAATCCAATGGTCCCTATTAACTCATTTTTCTGGTCCACCACATAAAACCAACAATTCTGATTTCTTTTACACATCAATCAACAGTCCAGATGATTTGATCCTAACTCCGAACAAGCGGATCCAATTCTAAAGATAAAAAACAAAAGTGAGAGGAAGAAGGAGAAGGTGATAGGAACAGGAGGAAGGAATCTTACTTCCACAAATCCACCTACCCAAAACGCTTCAGAGCGCAAATCCAACGGTATTGTGCTGCATTTGTGTTCGACTGAATTTGACAAACCCCACAACCCTCCACCGTCCGCTCTCGCAAACACATGGCGAGCTCCTCCGTCGTCGCCTTCAACCCCCTAACAGGGCGGAGAGCGCGCCAAATAGCAGCCGGATTCTCGCCCAAATCACGTCCAAGGCAAGTATCAAGTCCAAATTTTGGGAGTGTGAATTTCCCAAAACCCCAATCTGTAAAATTCAAATGCAACTACTCAAGCTTCGAAGTAAGTTCATCTTACTCCCCAAATTCACAATCCCTAGAACGTAATTTGTTACTTGTTCTGATCACTCAAGTATTCAATATGTAACTTGAAGGTTAGCAATGTCAGCTACCAACCGCCGGGGACTGAGCTCAGCCTCCTCAGTGATGTTAGCCTTTCGCTTCCGGAGAAAAGGTACAAATCTATGGCCTGGTAACCAATTATTAAGTGATTTATTTTTTCATTTTCATAATTAATTTCAGTATTTTGTGGGAATCTATGTGATGCGTGGAGCAGATTTTGCAGTATTAGGCTTAATTTGTGCATTCTGATGTGGCAGCTTTGGCTTAATTTTTGGGCGGAGCGGTAGCGGAAAGACTACTCTTGTGCAGGTTGTGTTTTGATGTTATGTAATGTTCATCTTCTTTTTTAAGCAGTGTATTGTATATGAATTGTTTTTCTTTCCCTTCCAGCTTCTTGCAGGGATGAGCAAACCAACTTCAGGTTCAATTTACATTCAAAAATATGGAAATGATGGCAACCCGGTTCAGTCTCCCGAACCCTTATCAGCCGGAAGAGTTGGCATTGTGTTTCAGTTTCCAGAGAGGTATTGAATATTAGTTACGAAACTAAAAAATTGTTTCCTGTCTCGATTAATCATGATACGAGTTCATAATTACAAAATTGAGCTCCCATATGGGCCCATATCCCTGATTGTTTGCGTCATGTCTGTTCATTTACGATTTTTTTAGTGTTTGATAATATATTATGTCCCTTTTCAAGCTAGGTATTTTGTGGCAGATAATGTGCTCGATGAAGTTACATTTGGGTGGCCAAGGCAAAAGGGTGATCTTCAAATGAAGGAGCATCTTGCTCTGAGACTCCAAAGAGCAATCAATTGGGTACTTGTGCCCTTTCTTAGCATGAACACGTTTTCTTCTACTTATTATGATGTATTTTTTTTTCCATTGATGCTCACTATGATTTGATTATTCTAAAAAAGAATTCATTTGTTTAACTGATTGCGTAGGTTGGTTTAAGTGGCATCTCATTGGATAGAGATCCTCATTCCCTAAGTGGTGGCTACAAACGTCGGCTTGCCTTGGCAATTCAACTAGTAAGAACTTAGATGTAAACACCAATGCATACACCAAAATGACAATGTAACATATATTAGATAACACTTCAACTATTTGCTTTGATAAAGTTCAGTCTTATAAATCAGGTTATTGCTTGGGCATGAAATCACTCATACATGTCAATTGACCTCAATCTCCAGGTGCAAGTCCCTGATTTATTGATACTGGATGAACCTCTTGCCGGTCTTGGTATGGAGATGAATTTAGTTCGTTTGGTTCCTCTTCATTATTTGTCTTCTTATTTGGTTCTTCCTAGCAAGTCGAACTAATGGATACATACTTTTTAAATAATCAGGCATTAAGAATGCCAATTATGCTTTACTTGGGAAACATTTTTACTCTTCAAAATAGACTTAAGCCAAAGTTCCAGTTGTGCTTTGGCTTCTGGCTTCAAAACTTATGGTTCTAGGTTTTATCTGGCAAACCATATTGTTTGTTTCTTCTTCGTTTTCAAATTGTTTAATTTGGTATTTGTTTTTACATTTATCTTTTTTTCTTTTTTTTTTTCTTTTCCTGCTGCTATTTAGATAACTTTTATTTGGTCAGATTGGAAGGCACGTGCAGATGTTGTGAAGCTTCTCAAGCATCTAAAGAAAGAATTGACTATACTAGTTGTCAGCCATGATCTCAAGTATGTCTTTTGGTTACACTGTTGTAACGTTTCATTCTCTATGGTCTTTCTTTGTACATTATTTATTGTTGTTCACTTGTTACATTATCATTATCACTTGGAGCATTGCCTTAACAAACTTGGTGCGTTGCCTTAATGTTTCATTGTTTTTCTTTCTACATTCTTTACTAGTGCTACCCATAATGTATGGACCCATGTGTTTTCATTTTAACAAGGACATGAGATGCTGGATGTGGCTCTGTCAAGTTGAGAAAGTTTCCGCATCTAACGCCTAATATTTTTGTATCAAAAAATGAGGTGTGAGATGTGGCAACTTTATTAACTTTGTGACGGACATTTCTGTCCAGAACTTGAAGAAAAAGTGTGAGCCTGGCATCAAAGTTATAAAACCAGAGAATATAGAGTGTCAGATTTATAATGTGTTCTATTAGTATTTGATGAGCACGTGGATATAATTGTAATTGAAAGCCAGTGGAGTAATTTCAAATTACTTTTACATTACAATATGCTCTTTAAGTTTCCATAACTTGATTATTGTTGCAAATTGCAATGACATACCGAGTCAGTTTAAAGTTCAGTGTATTGGGCGCTGAAGTTTATCTTATTATCAAAAAACTGGTAGTAGTTTCCTTGAAACTTGTATTATCTACCACCTAGATTCATTACTACTTGTCAAAAGTAGTTATAAATGAATTACCTTATCTGGTCTCATGTTATACGCATTTTGTGTTCTCTTTCAGGGAGTTAGCAGCTATAGTGGATCGTTCTTGGAGGATGGAGATGGGTGGGGTTCTTAGGGAAGAGCCCCTACCCATTTAATTCCAGCAATATGCTGCTGCCTCTTGATAAACATTGTATGCTGTGAGGTTTTAATCTTTACTGATATTTACTTTTAACATATTAGTCTTCGACGTGGATTGTTTAGGAATAGGAAAAATATACTTACAAAATGAAAGTGGAATGCGTGAAATAGCACGCACTTGGGTAGAGATTTTTTCATTTTCAGTTCTTTTCCTGGATAGTGGGTGCTTTTGATGACCATTTGTGAAAGCATGGTGTGATATATGTGCCATGTCTATATTCAGGTCACAGGAAGGGAAGGAAAACCCATTTTTCTTTCATTGGCACATTGATGCAGCTCTCACTGACGTCATTGGTGTATCTTTCGCCTTATTTTCTCTGTTATTTATAGTACATAAACCTTGCGTGCAGGTACAGTGAATAGCTATAGTGTTTGGATTCGACTGGCTGCCTTGTTTATCATGTCTAAGCATCTTCTGGACGGAGGAGGCAGCAGGACAAGGTTGATGGCCCTGAATATTAGCATCCTTCATGAGCATCTCTGGAAGTTAATTGATTAGGGAAGGGTAAAGCTGCTGTAGGCTTAGAGACAGAGTCATTAGCCATGCACGCGTACATCTTTGATTGGACCTTTTACAAGTGGGCTCGATCATTCCACAACGCAAACGAAGTACTGAAGGAAAAGTGAGGAGTCCTTGCAGAAAATATATTCATAGATTGTGCATGTAAACCGATTTTTTATTTTCACTTCTAAGCATTGACAACGGAACCACGAAAACAGTGGATAAATACCTTGAAAGAAAGGATGCTTGCTCTGGGACTAAACTGACAGCCGAAGAAGAAGATGAAAAACTTAGATGTTGCGTTTGGTGGTTTTTAACGATCAATGTATGTATCAATGGCGATTGATTTGGTGTTCTAATGAAAAGTTTGTGTGAATTAGCATATGATTTATGCTTTAATTTGGGTGGCCGAGTGGCCGGTGTGACTAAGCCGGAATAAATATTTCAAATTTCTGAGAGCGACTTCTTCAACCCCCGACGGTGCGAGTGTGATTGACATCCGATTGCCTGGTACTTTGTATTCACTTCTCCACATTTCACTGTTTTCGTCATACAAGAGAGTTAAAACATTGGCTCTTTTTTCAGACCACCGGCATATGTATGTATGGCAATTATCCGTCAACTGTTTCGGCACTATCGGCCAAGCAACTGTATAGAATTGGTGATCCTAATTGCAAACTTGCAACCCAAGTAACTGCATTTGTATGTTCTCGCTCGAGTTTCCTAGATTAAATAGAGGACGAATGAAATTATTTTTATACGAAAAGGTTTCCTCACTTTATAAAGCTTTGTTCTTTATATAAATTGATTGGAGTGATGAACCATAGAAAATGAAATTATTTTTATACGAACCTACTCATCTTTTCTGATGAAGTCTGCAATGAATGAAAAAACGCATAGAGCACAGCACCCTTCTGAAGAGATGTCTCCCAACAGTCAACAGTCACATCCCATTCTCATATCTGTTGCGAACATGCATAATCCCACTATATATACATTTATCTGCATGACATTTAAAACACATAAAATATCAAATTCTTCTTCTTCATTCCTAAACCTTCTTACTGAGAGAACCACACAATAATTCGCCAAAAGTCAGTTTTCTGATGCTAGAATTCTAACTTAGATCGTTGAATCCTAATGAGGCAGATGTCTGTAGAACTACAAGCACTGAGTAGGGACGAAATATGTTTCAAGGACATTACGGTACGCAAGTGCGATCTTTGTCTGTTCAATATTATTTCGCATTGTTCATACTCTGTTAATACATTTATTCACATTTATCATTTATTAGCATAATTAAGTTTATCATAGGTTGTCGATATTTATCCAACAAAAGATTAGCAAGAAAAATCCACATTCCCCATAACCTTATTAAAATATGTACTCAAAAAAGACAACATACAATCCATAACAAATGGTGAAATTCAAAGCTTGTTTAAGGATTGATGTGTAAACAAACATATAAGCAGAAAAATGGTTTGACAAACAACCTAATTCACGAGAAATTTTTCAGTGTGATCGGTATAAGGGATGGTACACCACGTGTCATTATACAAATGGTGGGATATGTGTGCTAAAAAGTTAAAAAGTTGAAAGAAATGGAGGATGCTATGCCCAAACTCACACCTGCTGAAAGAAAACTTGGATTAGGTCCTTATGAAGTGTGTGGAAAAGAAAAGGACCACACGACTGAAGAATGCCCATACCTGGAAATTATCCCAAAAGGAGAGGAGGGAAATGTGTGTGAAAAGTACGCAGTAGTCAGTAAGGGGTGTGGTTTGTAGGGTGGTCACCCTGGGAAGGGCTGGACAGGATGCGCTGTTCTCAAGTATTGTCCTCGTTGTTTTGTTGTTGGCGACCACGTGTACGCAAACTGCCCCAACTTGGCGCCGGAAAAGCGTGAGAGGTTAAGACAAATCAAAAGAAAGCATCACCGGTTTGGAATTAATTTTTGAGAGCAGCTCCAGGATTAATTGGGGAGTTGGCTTGTAATATCTAAATGCGTGTTTTCAGTCGTTATGTCAGTCTTTTAGATCGAAGAACAACCAGTCTTGTCTTTCAGAACAATTAGTCTTATTATTAAGTGTAATTGCTTGCTTTCAGTGTTTCTAAGGATTAATGTTTTAATGCCAATTTGGTGTTTTTAATTAAAAGTTTGTGTGAAGCATATGATATGTGCTTTTGTTTTGGCCCGTGTTGTGTGATGAACGTTTCAAATGTCTCCTTGTGATTCCTATAATGCTTGACCTCTCTGTGTTTGTGTGATCAAAGGATGTGCTCCACCGTTTTTGTTATATATCAGTTCAGTTTATTATAGGTTTATCTTTTTATTTCATACACGTGATATGCCAGGAACGAGAACCATACTCGGTTGAATACAATGGTATTTATATTATGTTAAGTGGCATTGATTTAGAACTAAGTCGCATAATGGCTAATGGGCCAACCATAATTCCTATCACAAGAGTCGCAAGTAATAAGGAAAATCACTTTTACCTTTGAATTGAATTGTGATAGTCTTGCGTTCCACGGTCGATTCTTTATAACTTGACCATACTCAGTTCTTCAATACAAACAAATCCCCAACCTAGCAAATGGGTCTCTGTGTGGAGCTTCACTCGACACCCCTTCCATCCTCACTCGACGCCGCCTCCAACACTGAAAAAGGTATATATGATATTTGTACAAGTTGCTAATTTTCCAGGCAGGTCCAAGGGTTTGTGTGCGGAAGGACATGGCTTTTACTCGGATGAAATATGTGGTGGGTTCCATTCTCAGAAGATTTGAGATCATACCGGTTGATTTCGGTGAGCCTGTTTTCGTGTCGTAGCTGATGGCTCATACGGCCGGAGAGTTGGAAACCGACGCGTGTATTTTTAAACCAGATGTTAACTTTTAATCACAACCGTTGAGATTAGGAGCTAGAGCAAACCCTGCCTATGACAGAAATGGATCAATTTCATCAACAAAAATAACGGTTGGCTGGCGACAACTCGCAACTTCAAACAGTACCCTCACTAGCCTTTCGCCCTGGCCAATCTACAGTCACCATACAAGATTTTCAAATATAATTATGTCTTAAGCACATATAATTAGGAGAAATTCATTTTACAGTTTAATCTAACGTCTAATAACTTTCTAGTCAACTATGGTGTTCTAGCAACATAATAGGCAATGTTAGAGAAGGCTTGGTTACATAAAATCTTGGATGCATAATAGAGTGTATGACTAATTCGAGTACTTCAGGTATTTCTAATTAGGATTTGATTTTGAAAAATTCGAGAAAATTCGAGAAATTTTGTAAAGTATTTTAAACAATCATAAATCTCATGTCTCCTCTTTCTAGATTTTGAGAGAATTGAATTTCGCTCATAATTTTGCATGAAATCTCTAAAAAAAAAATCAATTAAAAACACATCATATTCCTAATTGAAATTGAATACACGTTAAGTAGCATCATATCCCATATTCGATGGACTTATATAAATTAATCTCGCGTCTCCTCTGCCATTTGTTTACTCACTTTGTGGGTCTTGTATATTATGTTGTTTTTGTTTGGTATTTGACAACGGAAACACACGCACACCAAATAAATAAATAAATAAAGTGGATGAATACCTTGAAAGAGAGGATGCTTGCTCTGGGAATAAACCCACACCCGAAGACGACGAAGAAAAACCTAGATACGGTCCTTGTGGGTGTTGTGGAAAGGAGAAAACACCACGCAACTGAAAATGCCCCATCCGTAATGTGAGATAAATACCTTTGGAATATTTAACTTATGTCAGTATTTTGTTAAAAAAACAAAAACAAAAACTTACGTCGGTCTTTTAGAACAAGAAGCCTATTATTTGCCGTTGCGTTTGGTGGTTTTTCAACGATCAATGAAATAATAACGCCTGGAGGAGTAGGGGACGGTCAGGATTAAGACGTTAAAGATAATTAATAAGATCTACGGCTATATGCATTATGCGAATCTACGACAGAGCATAGCTATTTCCTAGTTAATTTCCATTTTAAATTTTTTCAACTGTTATAAGCGATGGTAAGTGGACTTCTACCACAATGGTGCAGATAAGTGTTGTTCATGCACAATTGCTCTGAGTTCGAACCTCGTCAGCTTTCTAATCCAACATCTAATCTAACAAATTTATCGTTTGACCAAAAAAAAAAAAAAAAAACTCAAGGGGTGTATTTAATTGAGGTCCCCCTTTTTTACCTCCATCTCGGAAAAGAAGAAACATCTAAATATATATACTTGTTGCAGACCTATTTGACTAAACTGTATTTAGGACAGAGAGGGAGAGGGAACCCTATTGTACCTATATTTATAGTAGTAGAATTCCTTACCCTAATAGGATTACAACTCTAACAGGATAATAAATAACCCTGTAGAATATTTCAAGGTATCCCTAGATATGGAAAAGAATTATTTCATGTTTTTAACTATGTGAAAACTGAGTTTGATTGCGTTTACAGAAGGACTCAACACGGGTAGGTGATGAACCAAACAAGGACTGATTAGACCAATTAATTGGAAGCAATTTAAGGCACAAGAAATTTAATGGTTGTAATTCATATGCTATTTATTTTACTTTAATCTACAGGGTCACTTCAAAGACCTTTATGATTATTCAAAGTATTTTATAGTTCTGTGTAGATAGTCTGTCGTTTTTTATCAGCAACCTATTACTCATTCATGAGCAAGTTCAGCTAAGAAACTTTTGATTTTTCTTCTCACTGTTTAAGTTCTCATTCGATAAGTTACATATTATTCAGTCCAATTAACATTCGCATTGAAATGACAAGCAATAAATGTAATGACATGCTTCTAAGTCGCTCCCCCATTAATTATTGTCTTAGTAACAATCAAGAAATTGAATGACACGCTTCTGATTATTTCGTTTCTATTACAAATCATAAATAACATTCAAATTTTTCTTCATTGGTCTTTTGCAGGAAAGCAGGGATGCGTTTTTTTTCTTTTTGTAAATTAATTTTTATGTAAATTCGGGGAATATAATTTGAATTTTTTTTTTGGTAATAATGTTGAACTTCGTATACCAAATGACAAATGGATAATTTATAGATGGTTTGATATTATGATTTTAACCTTATTTTTGTGAGCAGTTATCTAATACTTTTGTGTATGAAGTGGGGGTGCTTTTTGGTATTTTGAATGTTTCACCATTTTGTTGCTCTCACTTTATACATATAGATTACTCCACCCTAATTATTATCGAGGTTTTTTGTAATAAAACTCTGCACTTAATAGGTTTAGCACTTGAAAGTGGGGCCATGAGCCCGTTGACCAGAACTATTTATAATTTTTTGCTACGCCGGCTAAAATGGTGAGAATTGCAAGGTGGTGTCTTCCTACGCCGGAGTGGATGAGAGAGACACCGGAGGAGAGTTGGAAACCAACGCATGTATTTTTAAGCCGGATGTTAACTTTTAATCACAACTATTGAGATTGATCCAACGACTAAGTAAAAATGTGCAAATAAGATGTGTAATATTAGTCATGTGCACAGAACACTCGAGTAAAATCCCCACTCTAGGACCCTCCGACCCGTCACTGTGATTAAAGCCCAACACCATCTTACTTGACCCATCAGGCCCACATAGAGAATATTCCTGAATAATTCCTCCAGCACCATCCATCATTTATCTCTATGCAGAGAAAAGCCCTCTATCCATGTCTCTATCAGTGTCAGAGAAAGCCATGATGATCGGGATCCGCCGCGTATACAAATCAGTAGCCGTGATCGGCTGCGCACACGAATCCGTTTCCGTGATCCTCCGCCGTGCACTCAACACCGAAGCCAAGTACCTGGTGGGGTCAGGATCATTCGGCGAGGCGCAGAATCAGAAAGTGGAAGCGTCTGGCAATGGTATTATATATACCTTTGATCGATATATTTGTTACATTGTTTGCGATCTAGGAGGAAGATATTATGTGGAATAATTTGCTAGCTCCCTTTTGGTATTTTGCTTCTTCTCTATCTGGAATTTTAAAAAAAATTACTTTTAGGTTTAGGGTTTATATTATGTAGTACAATTTCACTCGTTCGTGTGGGTGTGGCTACATTTGTATAGTTCTGACTTGAAATTCAATTGAAGAGTATGCTATTTCAAGCCAATTAAATTAAGCGCGTAGGTGGCATATATATTTGTATATAATGTGTAACCAAAACCAAATATGCATATGGGTTTGCTATCCTAACATACTAAGCCATAATTAAATTAAATTGTTGAATTGATTTGTATTCTATTGTTTGTAGAAAAAGTATTAATAACTTGAACATCGATATGATATGGAAAAAGTAAAAGAGCATTGCTTAAACGTTCTCTCATTAGTGTATCTAAGCAACCCATTGAGATTGTGTTGTGTTGGGAGCCTAAGTATTTAGTTGCATGAGAATTCGTGTAATTGGCGCAATAGTGTATGACTATGTTCCATGTAGTGTAGCAAGGAAAATTGAGCTTCCTCGTGGTGTTCGTACAATTCCTAGTCTTCTTATTTGCGTATTCATGTATATATGTCCATCTAATAAGCATCTAAATGTCTATCCCAAATGAGATTACTGCTTGTAAGATATTTTATGCTAAAATATGCTGCTTCCTCCTCCAAGTTATTTGCATCTCCCTCTTCGTCACTTAATGGTTGAGCTTCAAAGGTATTCAAGACAACCAAACTAGAAATTCAAGAAGAGAGTATTTGAGCGAATAATAAAATAAAGAGAAACTGGCATACCATAAAGATTAATAAAATGAGGACGTCAGAAGATAGTGATTACCATTAAACCGGACGTAAATTTCTTTCACTTGGTAGGGCCAAGAGTTAAGGAAGCAGGGTTTCAGAAGATTTCCTGAAAATCCAACCAGACAACTTTTTTAGCATAATGAATGATATCAGTTTACAAGAACAATTACAGAAACGAAGTTTGAATATTTAACATGTAAACTATATAACCTTTTAGCATTATATATGGACACCACCTAGGCTCAAAACTCAAATCAAACAGGGTCTTCTTTACTTCAGAGTTCAGATTTAGACAGGATACATGACTGTCGCATCAAATAAGCATAAGGTCTTTATTTTTTTAGCGTGTCGCAAACATTAATTTCCGGTGGATGACCACCATGCTAACATATGCAGAAAGAACTAGAAATGCAGTATACTTCGCAAGTATAATCAAATAATCAAAGCATTCTGTTGCCCAAGTACGAGAAAGAGAAACATACCACCAGTTCCTGGACCCGTGTCCGAAGGATATTTTCTAACAACTGATTTGGACTTACTTTGTTTGTTTCTGTCATGAAGAAATTAATTGGCCCAATTGTTATAGACCAAACAACAACATCCGGAAAAAAATAAATAAATAAAGATGTGGCTAATGTACAATCGGGATATAGGTGAAGAAAGCAACGCTCCCCTGAACACCAAGGATAAAGCCTAGAATCAAAGTAAAGGACTCACTGGTAAATTAGAAATTGGAGCCTTTATAGGACAAAGGTAGCAAAAGAAAATGTGTCCAAATGTAGCAAACAGAAAGGGAATGAAATCACAACTATATTTCAGTCTTGAGAAGCAAAACCATAAACAACTACGCATGCATTTACACACAGACTTAATTTTGTGGGAAACAAGAAGATATAAATAAGATGAACCCTGAACATGAAGGATCTATGGTTTGAATATATCATTCATAAGGCTTTGGAATGTTGCAGGTGCATTAGTGAGTCCAAAAGGCATCACTAAAAACTCATAGTGACCTTCATGGGTTATGAAAGAAGTTTTTTCAATGTCTTGAGGATGCATCAAAAGTTGAAGACCTCTGATACTTCGGCTTATTTCTCTAATGGCTATCTTCAGGCGCCCTCTCGCTCTGCTTTCTCGAACCCCCCTCGGACGTCAAATTCCAGTCTCTCGAAGCCCTCTCGGACGTCAAATTCCAATCTCTCGAAGCCCTCTCGGACGTCAAATTCCAAGTAAGTTTCAAAAAGGACTATTTTTTATTTCAATTTCTACTATTTGGTTTCTGTTGAGTTTACTTCTGAGTTGTGAGTTTGTGTGTTTCTAAATTTATTCCAATAAACTTCAAGCGCATATGTTTTTTTTTTTCAATTTCTACTGTTTGAATCCCTGATAGTAATTTAGGTCAATTTACCCAATAGTAATTTAGGTCATGGATCAATTTACCCAATAGTAATTTACCCAGATGGACTGTTTTGGATTGTTTGTGCAATGACAGCCGAATTAATTGCTATCATTTTAGCAATGATCAATTTACCCAATAGCAATTTTCAGTCATAGGTGGAGAGAGATTGATTCTTAGGTCCCAAAGCTCGACTAGTAAATGCAATTGGTCTCCCTTGTTGCTGTAGAACTGCCCCAATGCCATTATCAGAGGCATCACATTCCAACTCAAAATGCCATTATCTTAGACCAATTGCATTTACTAGTCGAGCTTTGAGACCTAAGAATCAATCTCTCTCCACCTATGACTGAAAATTGCTATTGGGTAAATTGATCATTGCTAAAATGATAGCAATTAATTCGGCTATCATTGCACAAACAATCCAAAACAGTCCATCTGGGTAAATTACTATTGGGTAAATTGATCCATGACCTAAATTACTATTGGGTAAATTGATCCATGACCTAAATTACTATCAGGGATTCAAATAGTAGAAATTGAAAAAAAAAAACATATGCTCTTGAAGTTTATTGGAATAAATTTAGAAACACAAACTCACAACTCAGAAGTAAACTCAACAGAAACCAAATAGTAAAAATTGAAATAAAAAATAGTCCTTTTTGAAACTTACTTGGAATTTGACGTCCGAGAGGGCTTCGAGAGACTGGAATTTGACGTCCGAGAGGGCTTCGAGAGATTGGAATTTGACGTCCCAGAGGGCTTCGAGAGACTGGGATTTGACGTCCGAGAGGGCTTCGAGAGATTGGAATTTGACGTCCGAGAGGGCTTCGAGAAAGCAGAGCGAGAGGGCGCCTGAAGATAGCCATTAGAGAAATAAGCCGAAGTATCAGAGGGCGCCTGAGTTCGTTTTACCATTTAATCACTTTCTGGTCTATAGGTAGTAACCAGTCATTTATCACCACATTTGCCGGTACGAACCTCTAACAAATGTGTCTATTCTTTAATACGAAATCAAAAAATTGTATTGTTAGTTTTCAAACATATTGGGTTTGTAACTTTTTTTTTTGCTTTTGGGTATTGTTACCTATTTTATTTGGGTTGCATGTTTATTTGACCTGGTACGAATGATTGTTATTTCAATTTGTATGAAATTTAGGAATACCTACCCCGAAATACCAAAAATATTTCGGGAATTCCAAAAATTGGGAATACCGAAATTTTGGCTTGGGATTGGTCTTCAAATTCCCGTCCCCAAAATGTTCGCTTTGGGATTCAGGATTCCATTTTCGGTTGGGATCCCATACCGAACCACCACTACCAGTGCTTGTTTCTTATTGGTGAGACGTCATTTGGTTTACAAATTTAATCTTCCTAGCATTATCCTTGGTCTAATGAGGAGCCTAAACAGAAATAACCCTCACACAATCCAAGCCGGAGTCCTACAATTAGTTCAACTCAAGTCAATACTCTATGGATCAAGTGTGCCCTCAATGTCTAATTGATATATACCATTTTTAGCACTTGACTCGTCATCGGAGCACATAAAATATCAATGTCATTCTTTTCGTCAATAACATTTTTTTTGTTAGTGGCTAACTAAAACAGCATTCAATCCTAAACTTGATAGGAAATCAATAGCTTCAACATACATTTGTGCATTTGGAATTTTTAAAACTTACCTATTAGGTAGTTGGATGCCATATTCTTCTGACAGTCTCATCCCATCCCGCGTACACCTTCTTCCACACAAACACTGAATTTCAAGTAAATAAAAAAATAAGTGCAAGAATCCTAAAATAAATGTTATAGACATTATAAGTGGCATCTTAGCAATTTTGATTACAAAATAAGTCCTTGTTCTCACCATACTAATCAGTCATGTTATTATGATGTGGTGGAGCATGTGAATTTACAGATGCAGACTCTGAAAAAGTTATACAACTAAAGAATAAATCCTTGTTCTTGGCAACATTTGAGAAATATTTTATTTCATCTTTACACTATCACGACTAACTTACCTCTTGGATTGGAGGAGAACTTTCATGGCACGAGGACACCAACGCAGTACCCGTGGAACTTGTTATCGTCGGCTAGTTGAGTAAATTCACTTCAAATAATTACTAACTTTAGTTAGATTTTGTCGAGCATGCCAACGTTTAAAGTTTAGACATTGAGGGAGAATTATTTTAATTCATCTTAAATTAATATTCTGACCTTGAATATATTTGGTCTTATCGACAATTATTAGTATGTAAAAGTAAATTTCTTAGGACTTAAGTCTCATCCGTTAAACAACACCTAAAAGGTACTTACTGATACAATACGAATACGTGCAATACAAAAGATAATATAAATTTGCACTCAAGTCGTTAAACTCTCGAAACAATTTGAATAGAGATTTTTCAGTGTGACAGGTACACGGGGTGGTACACCACATGTCACTATACAAATGGTGGGATATGTGTGCTAAAAAGTAATTAACTTAAGAAACAAAATTTCCCCCAAAAATGCACGCCTAGCGCGCTCCTCACACACAGGACCTCAGAGAAGCACCGCGAGCGGGGGAGCGGAATTAAGAGCAAAAGATGAGTGAAAGAATGCCAGACAGGCGAGAGAATGACTACATTAACTAAACATAGAACTGAGGTAATGATTTAACAAGGCATCATCGTTCAGTCCAATTACTCTACTCAGAGTGACTACAAGTCAGTTTGAGGCTTATGAAAAATTTATCCAATTTGAAAGCTCGCCTCTCGAAATATAAAGAGAAAATGAAAACTCATATAAAACTGAGCATGCATAAGACAAACGTAAAGTTTGTAAAGGAAGAAAAAAAACAAAAAAAAAATCGAATGCACTTACCAAAGTTTTTTCGGTTTGCTTGAAACACGAGTGTGACGGACGATGAAAATATATTCACCAATTTCCTTCCAATTGTATTATGATAGATAGTGTGCTGTCTCGCGTTCCTTCCGAGTAGATGGAAAAATCTCTCACGGTCTCACCATTTAGAGGTAGAGCTACCTCTTTGACTGAGGTGTTGAAGAGCCAAATCCCGCACCTCCTCAATAATTTTTTTTTTTAATAGGACCTCCTCAATAATCGTATCAGCCAATCTCTTCGCTAGCTACAGAAAATAGGTCTCCGATCGTGCCTCCAACCAAGAAAAGAAAACTGATCCATCAGTCATCATGCATTGCATGCAGATGTTGAAAATTAAAAACTGATAATTTATTGATTCATTTAACTTAGAAGAAACGTTATGCATAAATAAATAAAAGTAAAAAAAGTAAGAATAATCAAATGAACTCATTGGGCCATTCTTTGGCACAAATTAAGATGAAAGACGTGCCACATTAATCTGAGTTACGGGCTCAGCCTAACACTGATTGATTGAAATTATAAGTATTCTAATTATTAGTATGAATTTCATAACTAAGACAACCCAATCTAATTTAGTTTAGCACAGAGATCAAAAAAAATGAATTTCATAATTCCAATTCTCATACACCAGAAAAAAAGAAAAAAAAAAGAAAGAAAAATAGAGAAGAGGAGGTGAAGCGATCTAAACAGACAGTATGAGACAAACAAAGATCAAAGTACCGACTTTGAACCTACTATCCCCTGCTCCAGCAGCCCAAAAGCCAAACCCCAGACCAACTTCCATGTTGCTCCGGCTGCTGCGGGTAGCCGGTTTCTTTGATAGCGTTGGTGGATCCTCACTCCCAATAATCACGGATCTAGCTCTGTCCAAAGAAATCCTATACAAAACTTCTTTGGGTAGGTCTAGATCCGTGCTTATGGGTCCAACTCCTACGGCTTGATTTTCATGCTGATTGTGATTGTGCCGGCCGGATTGATTTCCATGCTGGTTTTGTTTTTCTGGATATGACCAGATCTGTCTCTGGTTCGTGGTCGCGGCGGATCTGTCTGTCTTGAAGCTATTAGTTAGGGGCTTGATGAGTGATGTCAGGGTCAACAATTAATTAGGATATGAACAAACAAAAACAAACCAATCATCCCCTTCTCTCGTCTTCTCTCTCCCCCATCGATCCTTGGTCTCCTTTCTCTTCCTCTTCCCCTTCCCCTTCCCCTTCCCCTTCCCCTTCCCATCAGACTGCCATAACAATTAAACTCTTTCCCTCCCTCTCTCTCCCCGACCCAACACCTCTCCATCAAATTAACCAAAACAAGTTGTTGGGTCGAAGAAGACTGAAGGGGCCCGGAGAGGACGGAGGGAACAAGGAATCAGACCTAAAAACAATCTATAGGGAGGAGGGAACTGCAGAGGACTCAAGGGCAGAGGAGGAATAGGATAAGTGAAGGAAGCGCAGAGGACTGCCATCTGGGAGAGAAGAAATTTGTACGAGTATTGGAAACACAAGCGTGTTCACGATAATAACGCCGCTTGACCCTCCTCGAGTTGTAGGGACGGTCAGGATTAAGCCGTTAAAGATAACTAATAAGATCTACGGCTGTATGCACTTCAGCTCCCGATATGCAAATCTGCGACCGACCATAGCTATTTCCTAGTGAATTTTCATTTTAAATTTTTTCAACTGTTATAAGACATGGCAAGTGGCCTTCTACCATAATGGTGCAGAGAATTGTTGTTCTAATCTACCATCTAATCTAATAAATTTATTGTTTGACAAAACAAAATAAATCCATCGCCCTTCTAATCTAACAAATTTATCATTTTACAAAACAAAATAAATAAATAGGCTCGAGGGGTGTATTTAATTGAGGTTTTATGGAATTTTAGTTCCTTTGGTAAACGCAGCGATTTTCAATTACAATTTTAAGTGATTTTAATAAAAGTTTATAATACTTCAGGTATCTCTAATTAGGATTTGATTTTAAAAAATTCGAGAGAATTCGAGAAATTTCATAAAGTATTTTAAGCAATCACAAATCTCGCATCTTCTCTTTCTAGATTTTGAGATAATTGAATTTCGTTCATAATTTTGCTTGAAATCTCTAAAACAAATCAATTAAAAACACATCATATTCCACGGACTTATATAAATTAATTGATATATCTCAAAATCTTAATTGAAATTGAACACACGTTAAGAAGCATTTGGAAAATTTTATAGCATTAATTACTATCTTTTTAAGTAGCTTTTAAAATAAAATCATTTTTTTTGGTTCTTTTTTATTGTAACTCCCTAAATCAGAGAGATAAAGTATGGTTTGAATTAGTGAATTAAAAGGGAAGTCCAACTACTAAGCAATCCACCACTTTTACGTTAGCTACCAACCAACGGGGACTCAGCTCAGCATTTATATCTGCTTCGACAAATCCAAGGTCAATGCGTAGTATCGTTCATTCGACAAATTTGGGACCCTTCAGGGATAAATTATAGTTTTGTTTTTTATTGTAAAGATAAATTAAGTGGATTGGGTTTGTGGGGTGATTTATATAGTAATCTTGGGTTTAAAAAGATATAAGTTAGATACAATATGAGTATTAAGAGTAAGTTGGGTGAGATAATATGGGTTTTCCCGGTCTTCATTTTCGGAAATCCCAATGTGTAAGTTCATCTTACTTCCCCAAATTCACAATCCGTAAAACATAATCTGTTACATTTTCTAATCGTTCAATACATCATGTGTGTGCTTATTTAAATTCCAATTTTTACAAATTTCCTTTTATAGCAGTATAAATTTATAAACATTTATTCCAATTCAAGTCTAATCTTCAACAAAGAGTAATACGTAGACTAAATTTTTAGATTAAATTTGGTGCCCATTCACTACTTATACATATCCTTAAAAACTCGAAAATATCATTATTTTTTTAGTTTTATACTGACGAGGTTAGTAAATAAGAAAAAAAATCTCACAATTTATACAAAAACACTTTAAAAGTTCTGATGGAAGGCAAAACTCATAATATATCTACTTGTAAGCCTGAAGTTTTTTGGTTTCCTTCTCTCGATACAAAATAAATTAGTTTTTCCATGTTTCTAAATTACTGAGTTTGAAGTGCTTTTCTAAATATAATTTAATCGATGTCTTACGTGTAAAAACAAATAATTTTTTTTTATATGAAAATACACATTTTTTGGCATCACCCTGAGCCTCATAAATATCAGGACCAACCCTGGTGAAGGCCGCGCACAAGGGACTGCCATCTAGGAGAGAAGAAATTTGCATGAGTATTGGAAACACAAGCATGTTCATGATAATAACGCCGCTTGACCCTCGAGGATTAGGGGACAGTCAGGATTCAGACGTTAAAGATAACTAATAAGATCTACGGTTGTATGCATTTTGGCTCCCCACAATCTGCGACAGAGCATAGCTATTTCCTAGTGAATTTCGATTTTAAAAATTTTCAACTGTTATAAACAATGACAAGTGACCCTCTATCATGTGGTGGAGATAATTGTTGTTCTTGCACATCGTCGTAAATTCGAACTCCGTCAGTTTTCTAACAAATCTATCAGCTGACCCCAAAAAAAGAAAAAAAAAAAAAAAAAAAGTGCTCGAGGGGTGTATTTAATTGAGGTTTTATGGAATTTTAATTATTTCGTAAACGTAGCGATATTCAATTACAATTTTAAATGATTTTTGAAAACTCTAGGCATATTCAATTAGGATTTTAATAAAAGTTTATAATACTTCACATATTTTTAATTAGGATTTGATTTCGAAAAATTGGAGAGAATTTGAGAGATTTCGTAAAGTGTTTTAAGCAACCACAAATCTCACTTCTTGACACACCCCAACCTAGATCGAGGCATGCAGGCCATCACGTGAGGGTGACGTAGCTATGTGCACAGTGCGGAAGCAATAATAATAAGAAATGTGAATAAACAAAGAAGTGACTTGTTTTTACTATAATTTGATAGTGCACGCTTGCATTACCTCTTGAAATTCTTGTTGTAAGTACCACGAGATACAGGGTAAAAAAAAATACTTAAATGTGTGAAAGGCTTGTTATGAATAGTACTATGCAAGGGTAGTGAGGGTTGTAAGCTATCTTTAGAAAATAAGATTTCCAAAATCGTATATTTCGTTTGCAGATTTTTCTTTTGTGGTTCCAACATCAAAAGTAGAAGGAACCACTGTGATTGGAATCATCGACCATCATAGAATACTGTTAGCTTATGATTCCAGGGTAACAGGCCAAGTCGACAAAATAAAGCCTCAAATACGTAATTCTCGATAGGTTTTTCCTTATTATTCTCCTCTTTTTGTTTTGGATGTTGAAGAACTGTTATTTCCTACTTATCACTCGTCTAATTTCCAATCTCAGATAATTACAAAAAGGTTATAAAGTTCAGGAGGCGCGATATTGCTATCATTGGTGAAGTTGAGAACCGCAAAACCTGCAAGGTGGTAAGCAGGATCATCATGTCTTGGGAAGTTCAATTAATTCGGCTCCTGGAAGTGACTCACTTCCCAAGACACGATGATCCTGCTTATCACCTGGCTGATTTTGCAATTCTCAACTTGACCAATGATAGCAATCTGGAGCCTTCCGAACTTTATAAACTTTTTGTAATTATCTAAGATTGAAAATTAGAATAGTGATAAGTAGGAAATAACGGTCCTGCAACATCAAAAACAAAAAGAGAAAATAGTAAAGAAAAAACGTGTTAAGCAAAATTTCTCTCCATACTAATAAGTCATGTTATTATGATGTAGCGGAGCATGTCAATTTACAAGATGTAGACTCTGAAAATAGCTACTAACTTTAGTCAGATTTTGTCGAGCATGCCAACGTTTAAAGTTTAGACATTGAGGGAGAATTATTTTAATTCATCTTAAATTAATATTCTGACCTTGAATATATTTGGTCTTACTGACAATTATTAGTATGTAAAAGTAAATTTCTTAGGACTTAAGTCTCATCCGTTAAACGACACCTAAAAAGTACTTACTGATACAATACGAATACGTGCAATACAAAAGATAATATAAATTTGCACTCAAGTCTTCAAACTCTTGAAACAATTTGAAAGCTCGCCTCGAAACTCTCGAAATATAAAAATGAAAATTCATGTAAAACTGAGCATGCATAAGACAAACGTAAAGTTTGTAACGGAAGAAAAGAAAAAAAAAAAAAAATCAAATGCACTTACCATACACTAGGAAAAGTGCTTGAAACACGAGTATGACTGACGATGAAAATATATTCATCAATTTTGAGTTTGTTGTATGAATTAGGATGAATGTAGGGTTTATATAAACAAAAAAAGAAATGATGAGGTTGTAGATAATGTCACGTGGCACTACGTGATTGGTTGAAAATCTTATTGAAATCTTGGCTAAATGATTGTAAATAGATAATGACACATGACGTGTCAAAATTGATTTAAAATCTTATCGAAAATCTATCCACAAAATAGTACTTTCGGATAATGACACGTGGCATGATAAGATTGGTTAAAAATCCTATCCGAAATTAAAACTAAATTATTTTTTATTATTTTATTAAAAAAATTAATAATATTTTAATACAAATTGACTACAGTTTGTGCCACTTTTAAGAGTGAAGATGTATTTGGTCAATCACTGTTCATTGAATCATTTACTATTCATTTGAATGGATTAAATAGACTGACTGCCAATGCATTTTTAGGGCTAGAATTGCCCTTAGAAAAAATGTTACGCATAAATAAATAAAGGTAAAAAAGTAAGAATAATCTAATGAACTCATTGGGTCATTTTTTGGCACAAATTAAGATGAAAGACGTGCCACATTAATCTGAGTTACGGGCTTAGCCTAACACTGATAATAATTTGTTTGACGATTTGATTGATTGACACATAGGTATAATTATTCGAATTATTAGTATGAATTTCATAACTACGACAACCTAATCTAATTTAGTTTAACACAGAGATCAAAAAAATGAATTTCATAATTCCAATTTTCATACGCCAGAAAAAAGAAAGTAAAATACCTACTATCACCTTCTCCAGCAGCCAAAAAGCCAAACCCCAGATCAACTTCCATCCCGCCGCGCCGTCCGTCCCTTGTTCCGGCTGCTGCGGGTAGCCAGTTTCACTGATGGCGTTGGTGGACCCTCACTCCCAATAATCACGGATCTAGTGGAAAAGCTTCGACGCTCTCAACCTAGATCCGTGCTTATGGGTCCAACTCCTACGGCTTGATTTTCATGCTGATTGTGCCGGCCGGATTGATTTCTGGTTTTGTTTTTCTGGATATGACCAGATCTGTCTCTGGTTCGTGGTCGCGGCGGATCTGTCTGTACTTGAAGCTGTTGGGTCGAAGAAGACTGACGGGGCTGAGAGAGGACGGAGGGAAGAAGGAATCATACCTAATAAGGATCCGGATTAATTAATTAGATGAATTAGGGGGAAGAGATAGGATCTTTTTCGAAACACAAGCGTGTTCACGATAATAACCCCGCTTGACCCTCGAGGAGTAGGGGGCGGTCAGGATTAAGACATTAAAGATAACTAATAAGATCTACGGTTGTATGCATTTCGACTCCCTGTATGCGAATCTGCGACAGAGCATAGCAATTTCCTAGTGAATTTTCATTTTAAATTTTTTCTACTGTTATAAGCGATGGCATGTGGGTCTCTGCCACAGGCCCACAATAGTGCGGGGAAGTGTTATTCTTAAATAATGATTGTGAGTTTGAATTTCGTCGATTTTCTAATTTATTTGACAAAAAAAAAGTAAATAAATAGAATTAAGGGGTGTATTTAATTAAGACTTTTTGGATTTTTAATCATTTCGTAAACTAGCAATATTCAATTACAATTTTAAGTTATTTTTGAAAACTCTAACCACATTCAATTAGAATTTTAATAAAAGTTTATAATACTTCAAGTATTTCTAATTAGGATTTGATTTTGAAAAATTCGAAAGAATTTGAGAAATTTCGTAAAGTATTTTAAACAATCACAAATCTCGCGCCTCATCTTTCTAGATTTCAAAAGAATTGAATTTCACTCATAATTTTGCATTAAATCTCTAAAAAAAAAAAAACTATTAAAAACACATCATAATCCATGGACTTATATAAATTAATTGATATATCTCAAAATCCTAATTGAAATTGAATACACGTTAAGTAGCATTTGGAAAATTTTATAGCATTAATTACTATCTTCTTAAGTAACTTCTAAAATAAAATCATTTTTATTGGTTCTTTTTTATTGTAACTCCCTAAATTAGAGAGATAAAGTATGGTTTGAATTCGGCACAAAGTGAATTAAAAAGGAAGACCAACTACCAAGCAATCCTCTTCTTTAACGTTAGCTATCAACCGCCGAGGAATGAGCTCAGCGTTTATATCTACTTCGACAAATACAAGGTCAATGCATAGCGAGTGCCGTTCAACGTTTATATCTACTTCGATAAATTTGGGACCCTTGAAGGGATAAATTTTAGTTTTATTTTTTATTGTAAAGATAAATTAAGCAGATTGTGTTTGTGAGGTAATTTAGAGTGTATGACTAATTTGAGTACTTATTCAAGAAAACCGTGGATTTTTTCTTAATTCGTAATCGTTCAATAAGAATTGTAGATAATCAAAATCTTGCTTATTGATTCGGAAATTTAGATGAAACTTATTCACAATACTCAATTTCATCACCACACTGAAGGAAGATAAATACCATCTAGTATTCTTCATCTTTTCTTGATTTAGCAACACTCGCTCACTCACAAAGACGTACATTGAAAGATAATATTACAAAGCACAATATGTTCTGTCTCGCGAAGGACGGCATCTGTCTGTTTCTTACAACTGCGGTTGCTACAGCTCCAACACCAAATCTGCAATGCAAATGGTACCAAACTGTTAAATGTATTCGTAGTAGGCTCAGTTTTGAAGATCTCGAATGCATAATGGGGTGCATATGTGAAAAAACTTGCTATGATATGACTAGATAGAGCCCAGCGAGTTAAGGATATAGGTTCAGTTCATTGTGGTTTCTTTTAAAGTTTCTATTTTTTAAGAAGGCTGATGGTAGAGTTTGAACTTTTTGTTAGATGTTCTGTACTTTTTGTTCTCCCGAATTTTTGGTGTTCTGTACTCGATTTGCTTAGGGACTAAATCAAAGTTTATCGGCGTATAAAAAGTAATACTTACATTCTGCATCTGTTTTAATCCAGTGCTCTCCTCTTTTCCCATAAGTGCTGCCACTCAGCCTGTATTGGGGGAAGTTCATGTATTTCTTACAATTTTCAGTCCCCTCCTTTACCAGTGGCCCTTCAGGGAACCTTCTGTTGTCTCCACCCTTGAGCATCATGTTTTCATTACAACCACTATCTGCACTGAAAATTTTCTTCTTCTTGTATTTCTCAGACTTGACGAATTCTCTAGCAGCGATAGAGCTTTCAGGATGGATCGTTCTATGGAACATGCGTAAGACCTGCATGCCAGACAAAAGGACACAATAAATTGTATATGAAGTAATAGGTTCTTTTTTATCCTCAATATAAGACAACACCAGATAGTTTGGGAGAAATTATTAAAAGAAGGATAGTTCTCTAATGAAGACATCTAATGGAAACACTACTATTGGGTTTAGATAAACAAGGTTCTGTAGCGGGATGCTAGGTTCCAGGGGTCAGTAAACTGGAAACAACACCTTACTTTTGAGTGTATAGATCATATTGTAAGACCTGGAGATGCTAACAAAGACAATTTTCACTCTACATTTGCTTCTCACAATTAATTTATCCTATATGTCAGTGTTACATTCTTTGTGTGTGCTGAATCCCACAAACAACCATTGATGTTTCTTTGATCTAGATGCTGAAGATCAGATTGATAGCATTGGAGTATCGTGTTTGACTTAGCTGTATGTAGGATGACATTGGTGAAATTATTGCAAGGGAATGATGTATGTGTGTATGTACTCATGTACATTTGTGTGTGTAATGAAGAGCCATCAGATGCGCTGTTCTCGGAAGATCCAGTTATAGGAACCCAACCTTATGTGGTTTCTTCTTGGTTGAAAGAGAATCAGATGCCTCATCACATTTCTTCTTGATGGAAACAGAATCAGTTGCATCACCACCTGAGGTCTTTGAAGAAGCATGGAACTTTTTAATCATCTTCTTCATGAACCGCATGGCAGATTTATGCTTATACTTGACTTCTGTCTCCTCACTTTCACTTTTCTCCTTATAATCAGTTGTGATTTTGGTCCTGTCAAACAGCTCTTGCAGTGATGCCTTTTCTTTCTTTGCTTCCGTTGTTTCTGGTAATTCAGTTGAGGACCCAAAGAGATATCCTTTGAGCGGACATGCTGCATCCTTCCAGTACTCTTCATCTTCGGACTCCTCCATTTGCTTTGCATTGGGTGTAACAGAGCCAGCCTGACTGTCCCTTGCTGACGATACACGAACCCCTTCTTCCTTTGTCTCAGCCTCAAGAAACTTCTCTAGCTCATATCTGATTAGCTTCAAGTCGTTCTCAGTCACCTCTGCTTTTTGCTGAGTTAAGTTCTCTAAAGTCGTCCCAAAAGTTGGTGTTTCGGGCTCATTGATACCTGACTCTGAGCCAAGAGTTCCAATGGTGAGAAAGCCAGGAAAAAGCTCTGAGATGATAGCAGATGTTTCTTCTTCTCTCTTGGCTTCAGATTCAGAAAAAGATTTTTCTTGGTCCCGTGCAGGTGGCTCCAAGGATGTAGATCTGTATCTGGAGCCAAAGCTTGACTTCATATAGGCATCTTGGTCATCAAGTGATGGCTGAGCTGAAAGGCAAACACAAGGGTTCCCTGAAATTAGTTACAGAAAGAATTAGGTCTGTTACTCACATTGGAAGAAAGGATTGATCTGTGCGTATAAGTACGTCATCTCAGAGGCTGCACGGCTGGCCAAATAAACTGATCAGTGTGATATGGCCGAATGATTTCATTAGTTAGTATAAGTTGGTCAGCGGTCTTAGGTTCGAATATCGTAGATGGCAAATTCGATACCAAATTAGGCTGTCCATTGTGCGGCTTAGCCGAACTCCCCCTCCCCTTAGTGTAAAAATATCAATGTACTCAAAAAAAAAAAAAAAAGTTGGTCAGCGGTCATGAGGCCATTTGATTTCCAACTTTTTCATGAGATTCCGAGTTAGTTCTAAACTGCAGCTTAATATATAGTAAAGTCAATGATTATTTGCTAATTTCTGTAACCTGATTATGTGTGAATTCTTAGTGCTTAAGATGGGGAAAAGATGAAAAGTACGGTAGTAGGAAGCAATACCAATAGTGAGATCCTTGAAAGGCTCAATGCCACCGTGCCGAAATTTGTGGTGCACCCATTGTAATAACTGCATCAATGTAATGCTAAGATAAAGTCAAAAAGATTGAAAACATCTCTCGTTCTAAATTTGGTTAGAGTTTACACTTACCTTCATTTTCAGGTGTTGGAGGGCTTGATGTTTATATTGTTTTAAGTAAACATTGATGAAAGAAAATATATATGATTTAGTTTGCGAACAAAGACTGGCTCTAAAAAGAGATGTTAGGAGGAGGAACAGAATAATATCTTTTCATGAGGATTTCCAAAAGGCGGTAGAAGTCACCAATTACCAGAAGGGTCTGAGGGTGGTTGAGTAGAGAGACATTTAGAAAGATACAAGATTGTAGTTGGCTCTTCTTATCAAGGCCAAATCATGTAGACAAATTGAAGGGTGGTTTGAGTATGCATAAATATATTAGTAAAGTTGCATGTAAGCTTTAATCAACGCTTAATAATGTTTCACATAAATCTCCATAAACCTGATAAACAGTTGTCTTTTGGAGTAGCACAACGATGCACCCGAGGGGAAAAGGGGTGTAAGCAAATCTACTTGTTTCATTGTGAAGTATAGATTTCTGAATATGGTTACGATAAATTAGTATTACGTTGAATTCACTTCCAGCGTTATAAGATACTAGACCACTTTGCTTGCAGATCACTGATGTCATTGATGCTGCATTAGGGTTGTTTTCTCTGTTACTTGTAATATTCTAAACCTCATGTGCAGGTATAATTTTGACGTTAATAGCTATAGATCGAGGTTTGGATTCAACCAATTGTCTTGTTTATCATTGTCTAAGTATCTTATGGATGGAGAAGGAGGCATCAGGACAAGGTTGCTGGCCCAGAAATATTTGCATGCCCCCACACGCATCTCTGGAAGTTAAGTATTTAGCTTTAGGGAAAGGGTATAGCTGCTGTAGGCTTAGAGACAAAGCCATTAACCATTCGTGCTTACATCCTTGATTAGACCTCGTACTGTCTTACAAGTGGGCTCGATAATTACGCAGGGCAGAGGAAGGTCGAAGATAAAGGAAGAGTCCTTTACAGAAAGAACATTCATAGTTTTTGCATGTAAACCGATCTTATGAATTCGCTTCAAAGCATTGAATATAACTGGTTTTGCAGAAAGTACGTTGATAGTTGCAGAATTTGTTATGCAAATGCAAGCGATGCATCATGTTAGTCCGGTAGGGCTATATCGGACATTTTGTTGATACATCATCGATACTGTGTTAAAAATGGACATCCTGCACATGGAACTGAGTATTCTGTAACATGAATAGCTTCTTTGTTTGTTTTCCTTGCATGAGATGATTTTGGGACAAGACTGGTGAATGAGTCACCATATATAATTGAAACCATGATTAATTAATTGAGACAAGCTTGCTTAAATCTGTCAACATTCCAACCATTAGTTTTAGGGTATCCCTAGTTTAGCTACTTCTGGAGGACTAAAGACAGCGAGAATCACTCCCCATTCCACCTTCCATACACCACAACAAACACTTCCAATCCAGTTGAACTTGGAAAAGAGAGAAGCTTGTCTCCTTAAGGTCACGGAGGAGCTCTTTCTCAAAATATTTCGTGGCCTATTCACATAACTTACTGCTTATGATCAAAACCGTTCATATTAAAAGTCACTTTGTAACATCATCTTTGCAAAAAATCAATCAACTAAGGTCGTTAGTCAATGATTTTATAGAATCCGTCAATTTGTTCTTATAAAGTTAAATGACTAAACAATCTTGGTGTTATTTGATTTTTTGTAGAGATCATATTTACATGGTGATGTATAATATGAATATTTTGACCATAAACACAAAGTTCCATCAATAAGCAACAGTATTTTAAAGAGGAGTTCCTCCTCAATCCTTGAGGACTAAGTCAAGTCTTTTAGATGAGGATCTTCTCCGGATCCTCTTTGTGGGGATCATAAGAATCCTCATGTTCTAGCCGTTCATCGTACATCATCGTGCGAACAGTTTTCATCAAAAACTATTTGTGTTTAATTTTAAATAAAAAAAGTCAAATGATTTTTGACCGCTCGATATACGATGAATGACTAAAATGTGAGGATTCCTAAGATCTCAACAATTTGGATCCGGATCGGATCCAAATCTAAGTCTTTCTCCTTGGAAAAATATTGGATTGGACAGTTTCTTTTTTGGGTCTGAGTCATATTGTTCAGTTGGAATATGTATTGTCTTTATTGTTTTTGTATTAGATGGAGTTATTGCACGATCATTACCATCATGTTTGTTCTTATTTGTATGGACCTGTCTCATGATATGATAAGACCCCAACTTAAGGGCAGTTGAGCCATCTTGATTTTTTTATTTAGGGGATAAAACCAATTTGGTTTCTAGGCATTTGGATTATCATCGTGGATACCTCGTTGTTGTGGTTGATCGTTATTGAGTTTCGAAGAAGTCATTGTGCACTTCTTGAATACATTTTTTCTTGTGTTTTCATAGCGGAAGAATTAAAACCATCATTTGTGTACTTTTGGGTTACGAAAGATTTACTTTCTCTAAGTGCTAATAACAAATCTTCCTAATATTTTCCCAACTTGTAGAATGGGAAAAAAACTATATATCGGAAATTTGAGTGGACCAAAATAAAGGGTCTTATGATTTTATAAGAGCCTCCCTACTAATGTCGTTTTTTCATGAAACCATACCAAGGCTAACAAAGAAAAGATATTCGAAATTGTTGTCGTACCAATACAACTTTCACACTAAGTGAGACTTTATAGGGCTTGGTGGAACTAAGAGGAATGGCTTACTTATACCCTGAATGCCCCATGTCAACCCGAATAAATGACACATTATCATATGCTTTAACTTTTTCACATTACATTATATTATTAGCTTAAGATGTCACTGTGTAATCCTAAAAATATGAGTAGAATTTCACCTGAAAAACGATCAAGTTCAATCCCAAGAGTCTCGGAAAGTCTCTTCTGCAAATGACTTAGTCTAACATCTTACTCAAGTTTTTCTCCCAAGTAAATACTTGTAAAACCAAAAAGGGTGATCGCTTCCATTCACCGTAGTCATTAGTGAATCAATTTACACATTCAGTATCTCTAACATTGCTCTATATGTTTACTTTATAGGTTGTTCATTTTTCATGTTCACAGTGTACATTATATATGAACCTACTTAAAGTTAATATTTTTGATATTAACTAAATACCATAAAAATTGATGATTAAACTATTACTTAAACTTTAATAAATATACTTATTTTTATCAGCGACACATCAACTGGACCAAGAAAAAATTACCCGTGTCCGTATTGGTTGGATAAATTGAATTTCAACGACTTTCAAAACGCCTCCGTGACCTTTCTCTGTTGACAACAAAATCGCCAGCTACCTCTCTGCAACTGCACGCCTTCTCCACGCGCCGTCCCCTAAAAAATCCGTTGACCTCGATTGAACAAAAAAAATCCCAATTAATATCCCAACAATCCACACCGTCTGATCATCTCTCGCTGTCATGGGGACCGAATCATCAGCAGCGTCCGTGGAGATATCAGATCCGTTGCTTCACGATTCCGACGACAAAATCAAGGCCGTAGAGGCCGACGACGACGACCGAATCCCCGAATGGAAGGACCAGATCACCATCAGAGGGCTGGTCGTCAGCGCCGTGCTCGGAAGCCTCTTCTGCATTATCACCCACAAGCTCAATCTGACGGTCGGGATTATCCCCTCCCTGAACGTCGCCGCAGGGCTGCTCGGGTTCTTCTTCGTCAAATCATGGACTGGTTTCTGGGGAAAATTAGGGTTTTCAGTTACCCCCTTTACCAGGCAGGAGAACACCGTCATCCAGACCTGCGTCGTTGCCTGCTATGGCCTCGCTTTTAGCGGTAAGCCTAATCACTTCTGTTCCGTTCCGTTCTTCACTAATTAGTATTAATCACATCACTAATTAACTGATTAGCTAGTTCTTAGCTCTTATTCTTTGTCTTTTGGTAGTTAATTTTGATCTCAGTTATGGAAAATTGGTGTTTCTTTTATCTTGTGTAATCATATAATTTGTAAATGTGAAATGAATTGGCAGGGGGATTCGGTTCGTATTTGCTTGCCATGGATGACAGAACATATAATCTAATTGGTTCTGATTACCCGGGTAATCGGGCGGAAGATGTTATCAATCCGAGCTTGTGGTGGATGAGTGGTTTCCTGTTTGTTGTGAGCTTCCTGGGCATTTTATGCCTTGTTCCGCTTCGCAAGGTGACTACTTTTTCTGTGGATATGGATATCTTATGGGTGCTACCTATGTTTTTGACTTTGAGCTAATACTGATGTTAACTTTCTAACTGAATTCTGCATTCTGGCTTTTACACCGATAGAATTGTCTTTTTAAGTTGCTATTGGCATCTCGATTCATTTCGCGTATGTTATGTTATAATCATTAGACCCTTTGATAGAAACAGGTGTTGCTTGATGTATGTTCATTGGCTAGGACGTTTTGATGACAGAAGTTTAACGTGCCCGTTGGCTACCTATTATGGTATTTGTTGTATACTTGTCTTTTGTTAATGTATACTGTCTCATCTTTATTAATCTGATATCAGGTTATGGTCATGGATTACAAACTAACATATCCCAGTGGGACAGCCACAGCAATGTTGATAAATAGCTTCCACACTAAGAGTGGTGCAGAGCTTGCCGGGTAAAGTCTAAGTCTCAACCTTTTGATGTGTTTTATAGTAGTGCACTACTGCACTTTGCTTCCACTCAAATTGGGAAACCGGTTATTCTTCCCACTCTAAATATTTGGTTTGAAAACTCCTTAATCCCTTTGTATCTATTTTTATTAAAATAGATGCATTCAAAGTGGATCTTTTAAATTAACACCATCATAATCTTACTTTGCAGGAAGCAAGTTCATGCTCTAGGGAAGTATTTAAGTATAAGTTTAATTTGGAGCTGCTTCAAGTGGTTCTTTAGTGGTATTGGAGATTCATGCGGATTTGACAACTTTCCTAGCTTTGGTTTGGCATTGTTTAAGAACACGTAAGGCTATTGGTTCTCTGATTTTCTTCATGATTCTTCTCTTCATTCTTGCTCCCCTTCCCAACCACATCCTTTCCACTCTTTCACCCTTGTTTATAAGTTGAGAAAGTGGCAAACACTACTTGGTGGAGCTAGTGGGGGTCCTTTCTTTTTTATTATTTTCATACCCATTTTATGATGAAACAAATATCAAAATCAGAATAGAATTGGTATTTTGCTTTCCTGATTATCAATGATGAATTCGACAAAAAGAAAAGGAAAAAAAAGGCCTTCTGAGGAAGTGGCATTCTTTTTAGTAAGATCTACAATATTGTACAACAGTGAAGTTGCTGATGTTTTACATGACTGGCTTCATGCAGGTTTTATTTTGACTTCAGTCCAACATATGTTGGATGTGGTCTTATATGTCCTCACATAGTCAACTGCTCAGTTCTTTTTGGGGCTATCTTATCATGGGGTTTTCTTTGGCCATTAATATCCCAATATTCTGGGGTCTGGTATCCAGCCGACCTTGGTAGCAATGATTTCAAAGGTCTTTATGGATATAAGGTATTATGCTTCGATTTCCATTTCAGGCACACTACCTTGATTCTTAGGCTAATTACATGGGTGTACTACTATAGTGTAACTATTTCCAGTACGGATTTTGTTGCATTTCTTATGACAAAGACCTAAAGGTAGAGTAAGGGAAGAATAGACTGTTGCCTACACACTCATTCATAGTTATTGTTTTTGGTCATCTAATTGGCTCTAAAAGCTATATTCTTACCCGTTATGCTGTTTGCAGGTCTTTATATCCATTGCCCTCATCCTAGGGGATGGTCTCTACAATTTGATCAAGATTATAGCCTGTACTCTCAAGGAACTATCCAATAAGAGTAGCAAACTGAGCAACCTTCCTGTTGTCGAAGAGGCCTTAGGTCAGTATTTATATGGTCTCTGATATTCACTGAAAATGTCGTCACTATTCGTTTGATGCCAATGTTGTCACTCTTCACCTTAAAACGGTTTGAACCCATGACCCAATAGGGAGGGCATGTGTTCCCTGCATTGACGTTTGAACTCTATTCTCCTGTTGCAGTGCTTGTGTATTAGTAATCTTGTTTGAGTTGTCATAATAGCATAATTGGCTGAAATCCTACTGCCAATTTTGGCTGTAGCAAAATCTATGTATTTACCACATTATTGGCCTTTATTGGCCTGTATTTGCCACATATTATTGGATAACCTGTCAAAGAGATGAAGAGGGGATGACATCTTACACTTGGCATAGTATAAACAGATTAAAGTTTACATGTATCTTACTTTTGAGGTAACCTATTTTATGCTGAAGAATAATAGGTTGTTGATATGTGCTCAGCAGGTGATGAGAATTCAGAAGTACCACTAGAGCAGAAAAAGAGGGATGCAATATTTCTTAAGGATAGGATACCGACGTGGGTTGCCGGAGCTGGATATCTGGGCCTAGTTGTAATCTCCACGGCAACGATGCCAATCATCTTTCCACCTCTGAAATGGTATTTGGTTCTATGCTCATACATCCTTGCTCCTGCCCTTGCCTTCTGCAACTCCTATGGCACTGGCCTCACGGACTGGAGTTTAGCTTCAACTTATGGGAAAATTGGTCTTTTCATCATTGCGTCATTAGTTGGAAGTGACGGTGGTGTTATAGCTGGGTTAGCAGCTTGTGGGGTGATGATGACGATTGTCGCTACTGCAGCTGATCTCATGCAAGACTTCAAGACAGGTTACCTCACTATGTCCTCGGCCAAGTCTATGTTTATAAGCCAGTTAGTGGGAACAGCCATGGGTTGTGTGATTGCTCCGTTAACATTCTGGTTGTTTTGGACTGCATTTGATATCGGATCACCTGATGGTCCATACAAGGCACCCTATGCTGTAATATTCAGGGAAATGGCAATCCTAGGTATCGAGGGCTTCTCTGAGCTCCCCAAGCATTGCTTGGCTATGTGCGTTGGTTTTTTTGTGGCAGCGCTAGTTATAAACCTGCTGAGGGATGTGTGTCCTAAGAAAATATCACAGTTCATTCCGATTCCAATGGCAATGGCAGTCCCATTCTATATCGGAGCATACTTTGCCATCGACATGTTTGTTGGGACAGTGATATTGTTCATTTGGGAGCGAGTGAATAGGAAGGATGCGGAGGATTATGCAGGGGCAGTGGCTTCGGGTTTAATATGTGGTGATGGGATATGGACAATACCGTCGGCAGTCCTCTCAATTTTCAAGGTCAATCCACCCATCTGCATGTACTTCGGGCCTTCTTTGAGCAGATGAGTTGAGCCACATGCAGCACTGTAACACTAGTGATTGTAAGTTCAAAATTTGAGGTGTTGGGAGGTTTGGTTAGATTTTGTAAATTAGTACTCGAAGTATGATTCATTACTCAGTTGGGGTGGTTCTTCTAGTTCCATGTACATTAAACAAACAAACGGTTGAATGCTCCGAAATTAACGAACCACAAGATTGAAGTATATTGTGTTGTTTTTGTATGGGAAGGAGTTATTGCATCATTTGGAAGTGAGAGGTCTTAGGTTTGAATCTCGTGGATGGCGAATTCGATACCAAATTAGGTTGCCGTGTGACATAGCTGAACTTCCTCTTCCCTCAATGTAAAAATATTGATGTATTTAAAAAAAAAAAAGTTTCTGGTGAATGGTGTCGTGTGTTAAACATTAGGCTGGAGTTTATCTCGGGCCAAACTTTGAGAAATATGGACTTACCCTTTCGAGTTATCATCTCTTGCGCATCAAAGCACAAACAACAAAGATTGAGACTTAAAAATTTTGGGGTTTATTTCGGCCCAAACTTTGAGAAATATGGACTTACCCTTTCGAGTTATTATCTCTTGCGCATCAAAACACAACCAATAAAGATTGAGACTTCAAAATTTTTGTTTTAATCAGTGTTTTGTTCAGGACTAGTGGGGGAGCATCTGTGTAACGATGCATTGCTATATTGTTTTTTTTTTTCCGCCTTTTTGGCGGTTTTAATGAAAATCTCGGTTGACCAAGAGAAGAGAAATCATTTTTTTTTTCTTAGTATATTGATATTTTTAGACTAAGGGAAGAGGGAGTTCAGTTAAGTCACACAATGAGCAACCTAATTTAGTGTTGAAATCGACATCCACGAGGTTCGAACCTAAAATCTCTCACTTCCGAAGAGAAATACCATCAGACCGTAATACCGAATGGCAAAAAAAAATCTAATTAATATTACTAAATATATAGGCTAAGTAATCACAAATGTGAGTTTTGGAAATGGGGCACATGGCATAACGGTGACCTCTCTAGTCTCTACTTAGCACACTTCCACTTCCACTGGATTCTTTTTTTTTTTTTTTTTTTCTTTTCTTTTCATATCTCTAATTTTGATAGATTGATGCATCTCAACCACCTATCAATTAGGTAATGGGTTATATCTATCTATCTATCTAAAATTATTGTCATCAATTGTCAAGTAACATCATCGATCTATACCAAAAAGTGCAAATTCATCAATTGTTTTTCTACATGTATTTATATATTGTCAAATTTAGAGATTAAGTAACTTATGTAATCATATGAAATTAACAAACTTATGTAACCTTACGAAATTTACTTTATGTATATTTCTCTGAGATTTAGTTTCTATTTTTTTTTTTATGAAATTTTTTCAGAACTTTGGCAAGTTACAGAAATTGAAGAAAATCTGAATGTTCATACAGAAAATTACACAACCTAAAAGTCCAAAACAAATAAAAATTAAGCAAAAGAAAGGGATGGCACGTAGAGAGAGAGAGAGAAAGAGAGAGAGGGGTCCATTCCGTCTCTCTCTCTTGATCTCTATCAAAGGGAAGGAGGCATTCAGTTAGAGATTCTAGCTTTTTATTAATTGGAGGTTGTGGCTGTGGCAGTCCTTTTTGATGTGCAGCATGCAACTTCTGCTACTTTTCCCATTTCTCATCATCATTCTTCCTAAACTATACCATATCATCCTATTATGTGGAAAAGGATACTCGTCCCATCATTTTTCTCGGGATCTTAGGAATCTTATGATCGGGATCGTTTATTGTATATCGTGCGGTCAGAAATTAATTTAAATTTTAAAATTAAATATGAATGGTACTTAACGAAAACTAACCGCTCAATGTATTAAGTCATTGATTATCCAATATTATTATTATACGTTGTTTATATGTGAAAGGAATCCTCTTCAGATACCGTTCACCAAGTCCATCAAGTTCACCCATTCGGATTCTTGAAATTTGATTTAACGGCTAAAGTTATTATAACTTTTAAAAGAACCCCCTGTTTGTAGCCGTTTGATCAAATTTTAAGGGCTCGGATGGGTGGACTTGGTGGAAGAAATTCGGAGAAGATCCATTTCCGTTTATATGCCCTACTGGGCGTTGAATGATATTTTAAATTCGATACAAAGAAAATTGTATTTTTTTAGTTTGGTGCTACCCACATACACCTACCTCTTTTTGCCTTTTACACACACATTTCAATTTCCGAGAGACCTATTGCTAACAAATTGCTTGTCCTCTTTCCTTCACTTCCCGGCCTCCATGTTTCACCTGAACATTTAGCACATACTATAAACAACTTTATTTTTCTCTTAAGTACAAAATTTGTAATTGATGAAGCCATGGTGAAAAAAGTATTCTTATTTAACCATTCCGCGCTCAAATTATCCTAAGACAAACACAGAGAGTTAAAGCTTATATATCTCTTTATGGATTTAGTCTTTTATAAACCTAGATATATTTATATATTTATATGAAGTGAAAGGAAAGTAGTTTTCCGATTGAAGAATTGAATTCGTGGGATAGTATGTATGGGGTATGAGATTTCAACAGCTAACTTTAGAGGAGGAGAGGAGGGGCCTCCTTTGTCTCCGTGATGGGATGCACATACGACCATCAATTCAATCACCACCACACACGTCGCCCATTCCCGCCATTATTGTCATCACACAAATCAATAGTTTTCTCCCACACCACACCATATCAAGCACAAACCTCATGAATATATATAAGTACAGCTATGAATATTTTCACACGCAACCCAGGAAAAGAGGTGGGAAAAAGAGAAAAAAAGTCCTGCTCTTTAACGGCTTAATTAACGTTTCTTATTAGCAATTAATCATGTTCATTATATATATATGAATATTAAAAATTAAATTGAAATATATGGTCACTCTACGGTGACCGAAGGCTGCATGCATGCATAAGTTCGATGCGTTCATTTCTTCATCCTGCATAGGAACTGAGGAAGCAATGAATTAGCTAGTGATGTAGGACAAAAATTAAATTATTTTACATGCAATTAAATTAAAGGAAGGAAGCTACTTTAAATGAAGAAAAGTGATTGGAGAACAGAAAATTCTTGGGTTAAGTTACATTATAAATAGGTCAATTGGCCTTAGGTTTGTAATTTTTTTCGACTATTATTCAATAAACATGAGTTTTCTCTCTTTCTTCCTAGTAAATTTAGAGTTTGCTAGAAGTTTTATAACGAAGGATTATTATTCGATTTTCCATGTTCAATATATCCGTTGTGTCAGCTAAGTTTCCTAGTTCTTTTTAGAAGAAACGATAGTAATGTTTTGATTCAAGGATAGGCCAAAGCAGCCCCAAACCAAAAATTTAGCTAATTTGTAAGCAACCGTGTTGGCTTGGCAGCAGATATGGGTGCAAAATTCTTCAGTGATTGTGGTAAGGATGCTCTTTGTGTTATCGACAATCTGCCAAATTATGGACAAATTAGTTGAGGAATCACCAAGGGCCATCACAATCTGAAGAGAGTCTACTTTCAACAAGAAACCGATACATATATACGAGCTATATATACACATATGTACTGAACTCCTAATTAAATAGTAAAATGGGGAACACAATAATCATACCAACTTGCAAACTTTAGAACTTTGAAAACTAAAGCAACTTTGGACCAACTAAACCGACTAATTAAACTCTCGTGGTTTATACATCACGAAAGCGATATCAAGTTTCCTTCATCAAATGTTGTATATAATTATTATTCAACGCTTTAGGTCAGAAAATATACAAGAAGCGATGCATGCGTCTCCTATTCATTTATTGAGTTAGAAAATCTACAAGAAGCAACACATGTCACCGTAGTCGCAAGTTTTCGCAACGAACAACTAATCACTCAACTTTTAAGAGTTGCACACACGCGAAGATACGTGTAATGTGTGCAGTTTCGATAAGACAAGAAGAGTACCATACAAGATATGATGTCCTAATTGAGGGTTACAATATAAAACAAAAACTGAATTAAAGAAGTGAGGTAATGTACATTGACCGTAATGTGTATCATCATTGATTCTTCGACCTTACTATCCACATTGTATAATGATAGTTAGGGATAATTGGGTAATTTCATGGAGATTAAAATAACAATGTGGGCATTAACAAGTAGCTTCTTTTTTCTTTAAAAAATGATCAGTTGGTGGCTTCGTCAGTCGTCACGGTAGTCCATTCTTTCGGGGATCAACAAGACTCACATAGGTATTCCAGCCTCTTTGGTCACCATCGTGTGATTCACTAATGTCACTAAATCAAACCAAGACGTGCCGTGTAAAATACGAGTCTGGAATTCGTCCCCAACCATGATGTGTCGTGAGGTAATGTACATGGACCGTAATGTTTTCCACATTGTATAGTGATAGATAGGGCTAATTGGGTACATTTTATAGAGATTAAATAACAATGTGGGTATTAACAAGTAGCTTTTTTTTTCTTTCTTTTTTGTAGCTCGCCACGACAGTCTATCATTTCAAGGGTTGGCAAGACTCAGAAGCATTTCAGCCTCCTCCTAGTCACCATCATGTGATTCACCAATTTCAAGAATCAAACTCAAAATATGTCGTGTAGAATACATGCCTGAAATTCATCCGAACTATTCAGCACTCTATGGTGGTTGGTATTAACAAGTAGCTTAAGTTGAACTTTATGTTTAAAAATTTGAACTTGTGTGCTTTACTTTTGTTCTTTTTTCTTTTCAAGTAATGGAAGAAAACATAACGTGTCTGCTTGTTGTGATTTTAGTATATTTGATGGCTGATATTTATAAGTTGAATTAATCCCTTCAATTATGAACGGTAAAGAATACACACACACGCACCCACCTCATCAAAAATAATATTTCTTGTCGGGATTATTCATATTTGATTCATGTAAGATGATATCTAATTAATTATGTGGTGGACGCTAACACATAGAAAATCGCTTTCAAAGCACAATTAAAAATGGGTTAATAGTTTTAAGAAATTGGGATTAGGCATCTTTGTCATACGAGAAATTTAAGGTTAAAGATAAGGGACTCTTTTGTCACTTTGCTTACTTGTTATTGGCATCCAGTGCTCACACCAATTATCATTGACAAATGTGCATCCCTCTCTCGTGCAGAACAATCTCTTGTGCTTCTATCATCATTCTCGTGAAGGAGAAGGATTTACACAAAAC